AGACAGCTAGCTACCAAAAAAGGTAACGGTGGCAGCCGTTTTCCTGGTGTTTGCGACCCCTCGGTACGTCACCAGGGTTTCTTTTCTCACCCCTTTTATCTCGTGTACCGGTATTGATCTAACTCTGGCAGAACACGGCTCTGGGGGAGCTGGTTTGCCCAACGGTGTTGGGGTGCACGGGAGACCGGAGCCCTTCCTGGGAGAGGGGCCACACGGAGCTGGGGCGGCAGGCAGCAATCGTCACCATCCAGGCTGGAGTCGGCACACACAGCGTGACCTGCAGACGTGTGTTGGCCTGTGCGCTCCGGCGCTGGGCTGTTTGCTCAGTCGTACAGTTCGTAGAATCATAGAAAGTTTGGGGTCGGAAGGGACCCTTGGTCATCTAGTCCAACCCCCCCGCAGCGAGCAGGGACACCGCTAACTAGATCACGGTGCTCAGAGCCCTCTCCAGCCTGGTCTTGAATGTTTCCAGGTATGGGGCCTCCACCACCTCTCTGGGCAACCCGTTCCAGTGTTTCACCACCCTCATTGTAAAGAATTTCTTCCTTATATCCAGCCTAAACCTACCCTGTTTTAGTTTAAAACCATCACCCCTCGTCCTGTCACTGCTGAGAGTCGGTTCTGAATCTAACAGTGGTTTCAATGTCTTCTTTTGGATGCAACGGGTAACTGTTGTCAGAAACAGAAATTAATTTTTTGTGTCATCTGCAGCTAAAGGTAAAGGGCAGACTCAAGCCAGAGTGAATATCAGTGCTGCCCTAGTTGAGGATATTATCAATTTGGAGGAAACCAATGAAGACATGCAGGCAGTGATAGAAGCTCTGAAAGAAGATTTCAGCAGAAATCTCAGTGTTAGAACCTCACCAGGTTGGTAACTTCCTTGTACGATGCTCTATTGCCTGTAAATAAGGACACCAGTCCCAGTAACAGAGAACTCTGTTTGTTTCCAAACTGGTTTTCTTCTCATTGAGTTATTCACTGGGCACCCAATTACTACAGCCTTGACGTCCCCAACTGGAGGCTTTCTTCACCCTGAGCTTGACCAGGAAGAATCCATTTTTGTTAATAGCTTCCTGCAAATAGCTTTTGTAAGTGGGAGATGTCAAAAGTGTCTAACTGAACTGTTTGCAGATGTGATGAAGAAGCAGGTTGTCAGCTAACGGTGCAGTAGGGCAGGAAAAATCCAATTGCCATTAAATTAGCCTTTTGGAAATTGCCATCAGGCTGGTGTCTGGCATATACAAACTTTTTTTGCTGTGTGTCTTCGTGGTTAGTGCCCTTTACAAGCCTTGTTCACTTGGTGAGTTTTGTGTTTTAGGAAGAATGTGAATATATTTGACTAAGCTACAGTTACTGTAACGCTCTGAACGTACGAATTTGTAAGCAGTATTAAGTTTCAGGGATAAAATGTAACATCAAACAATGACCAAATTTGAATCATTCACCAGCCCAGCTCTGGCAGGGGCACTTCAGTCTTTAATGGAGTTGGAAAGCGTACCTCAGTCTCTTCACTATTTATTTTAACCGTAGGTATTTTTTTTAATTGCACTGATAAAGTACCTCTTGTCCCATGTGCCTTTTGGCCTGTGAACATTTTGCAGCAGAAACTAGAGAGCAGATTAAACGTAGCCCAGGGAGAAACTGAATACTTTAAATTAGGCAGTGTACAGCACCTCCTCTTGGGACTCGGGGAAAAAAAATGAGCGGTTTAAGAGAACACTGATAAGTTAAAGACAATAGTTGTCTTGATTTTTATAACAACATTTTGATTTTCTTTAAGGTCTAAGAATTAAAAAAAACTATTTCCTTTTAATTCTTAACAAGCTTGCTTAGTTTTCCTATTCTAGTAGCAAAAACAAACAGGAGTTTTGTTTTCATGTTTTTGTGCTTTAGACTAGCATTGAAATATTTTGCTTGCAAATACCGCGGGGGATGCAGGAACACAAACAGCACCTGAAGTCTGAATAAACATGTTTTTTTTTTTCTTTTGTAACATCTACATTTTGCATACCAGAAGGGAAGTGGGACACTGCGTACGCGTTTTTCTTCAGCGTCGCTGTGAACTGCTGTGTCGTACTGAAACTCCCCTGGTTTTGGTTCTTTTGAGGGGCCCTTGATCACATAATCTTGATGACAAAAGACGGGAAGTTTCCGCTGAACCAGCTGGGACAGATCTCACAGAAGTCACCGCAGCTCCTTATAGTGAACATGACCAGTTTTCCAGAGGTAAGGACACATTACTGAAGGCATTGCAAGGCGAGATTATTGTTGCGGGAGCGAACAGGTTGATGCTGAGCAAACCAACATGTAGACAAAACCAGTCAGACCTGGCAGGGGTGACAGCTCTGGCTGGGCTGTGTGTCGCTTCGCGGCTGCCACAAAACAGAAGCGGTATTTTGCTGCCAACTGCACGGGGCGAGCGACTCTCCAGCCCTGCCTGGTGCTCAGAGCATCTCGTGTGCAGCGGCACGGGGTCGGACGAGAGTTATGTGCCGCCCATCAGGCTGGGTCGTGTCCGATGAATGCCACCAGTATGAGGGGTTTGCTCTGGTTTCCCATCTGCAAGACCTGAGCGTGTCGCAGAGCGGACGCCTGGATTAACTGTCCCCTGCCAGGTCTCCCCATTCCCCCTGCTTTTACAGCACCCAGTATTGAGCACGCACGCACTCTCCTTTGGTTCACCTGAGTCACGCACGTGGAAGCAATGTGGCATCTGCCCCGTTGAGTTTGTGTCATTTCAGTTCCTTATGAAGACGTGGCCATGGACAGAACCAGGCATGTCGGGGGAATAGTCTGTATTTGTGCTGGGGACACCATCAAACTCCTCTAGGGCTGGTGACACCCCCTGAGAGCTCGTGGAGGAAGCTGCTGATGTAGCCTACGAGCTTCTGAGCAGCCTCCCTGGTAGGATGGAGCCGGGCTCGTGCTAAGTGCTGTCACAGGGCCTGGCTCCACTGCTGAGCTTAGTGAGCTCCTCCCTTGGCAGGTCAGAACCTGAGTTAGGTGCTTTGACCTGTCCCCTGGGAGAGCCGAGCTCCCTTAATTTCCTGCAGGAGCCTTAGTTTAGACCTGCTCCTAGATGAGGCAGCAAATCTGAATCCCACCTCAGGATCAAGCACTGGTGGTCCCCTTGCAGCGGGCTCGCGCAGATGGAGCCGGGCAGGTAGGAGCAGTAACAAGCGCAAGGTCAGCCTATTCATCCCGCTCCAGGTCTGGAGGTTTGCCAAAGCTTATCTCTATTTATTTTGCAAAGGCTTTCCCCAATTAATTAAGTCAGCAAAGTCTCAGAGGAGGTCAGCGTAAGGCACTTGATGCCTAAGTGTTTTTTAAAGTGTATCCAGCAGTATAATGGCTTTGAAGAATGAAGGCCCCTCATCAGCGAGTGCACCGAGGTCCCTCGGAGTGCCGGAGCTGAGATCGCCGGGGCAGTGGCTCCATGACTTCGCCCGTGTCCAAACGGGAGCTCAGGCTGAAAAATGGGCACGTGAGAAATGAAGTATCACGGTGTATACCATTGCCTAGGTTTGCTTTCTAAGCCAAAGGACCATTTTTCATTTGAATTAGAGCTAAAACTATTTCTCTCGATGCGGTTGTTTTATACCACAACTGTTCCATGGATAGACTGGACTCATTAAACCCATTACAGACACGTTTACTTGATGTCATTATTTACAGCATATACTCAGTGCTTCGTGGCATTGAAAAGCAAATATAAATGCCCAAAGAGTCTGGGAAAGAAAAGAGTCATAGAAAAGGACTTGCAGGGCCAAATTCTGTTTGACTGAGAGTTATAAAACCAAACAAGACTGTGCTTCTTAAGCACAGCTCTTTCACGGGTGGCAAGAGGATGGGGCACTATTGCAGTGTTTTCCCCTTCCTCTGCCTCCTCCGATAAACAACCCAGCTTTTACTGAGCATTTCCTTCCTACAGACCAGTGTCCATAGAATAACACATTTACATTCCTGACGTGCTGAGATCATCCTGGCTGCGTTTTTCTCTGCCCTTGTTGCGTTCTAGAGGACAGCGTTTGTGTCTTACGAAACACTGGCAGAGCGTTCATTTCGTTCAGTGATGTCACGCGCCGGGGACCTGAACGCATACGCAGAGCTGTAGTTTGTGCCTCAGTTGTCAAAAGCTCAGCTTCATAAATACAGTCCACTGCAGCAGCTTGGAGCTAACGATGGGAAAGAGGGTCAGAAATAGCAGCGCCTCGTAGGAGGTGCCACGCGAGTGCCACGAGAATACGGGCTCGCTCGGTCTCGTTAGCGTCAATGTCAGAGAGCGGGGCAGCCTGGCAGAGCGCGGCGGGCGCTCCCGGCAAAACGCCGATTTAATCGTGAAGGCTGACACTGTGTAAAGGTACCCTGGGCTGGGGGGCCGGGGGGGAAGCCTTTTAATCCCTTTGCAGTTCCCAGGCAAAGCTGCCCACCCCACCTTCTGAGCAGAGCAGAGTGTCAGGCAGCGGCGGTGGCGGTTTGAGGAGTTAATCCGAAGTAATAAGCTGCAAAATAAACACAGAGCTGGGCACAGGCGCCGCTTCTCAGCCAACTGCTACTGCCCTGCTGTCATGTGGTTAGGCTGTCGTGCTGAAGTGGTTAAGTTAGTTAACGTTTCTAAATTGGCACTGTGTGATTTCTAGGGGGAAACATCCAACTGGAATTCTTAACTGCTCAGCATCTTTCGTCTCCTTTGCCACAGTCAGGCTATGCCTCGGGAATTTATTGCAGTTTCACTCTGCGTTGCCTCAAACCGTTCAAATAGTTTCAAAGAAGGAAAACAGTTTTCTTTTGTTGTTGCTTCCCTTCCCCTCTCCCCCTCTTCGTGCCCCCCTACCCGATACCGAGCGTGGCCGTAGTTTCCCATTCGGTTTGATCAAAGCTCTCTGCACCAATGTAACTTCCTGATCTCACTGGTAACAGAAGTAAATGTTTCCATGTTCTGTGGAGATGGATTGCCAGCTATTGACAGAGTTCTGGCATATGGGAATGATTATTTCCTAATTCCCTTTACCTTTTGATCTGTTTTACAGAGCACAGCTGCAGCTACGAAGGCCATAAGGGAGAGTGGCATGAACCTGAACCCTGAAGTGGACGGGACGATAATTCGGGTGCCGATTCCCAAGTGAGTATTGACGGCTGCCCGAGTTCGTCGTCGTGCAAGATAACGCAGTAGGTTGCAGCGAGCGCCCTGCAGAGGGTAAGTAAGCGCGCACGACTGCTGCGGTGTCGTGGTGCAGCTGGTTTCCTGGTAGCTATATTTCAGGTTCAGAAAAAAAATCTGAGTCCCTAAAAGCGTCTGATGGAAGCTCTTCCAAGCGTCTGAGCTCAAAGTCACCAGATTTTGGCATCTGATAGTTGGTCTTATTGTTCTTTCTCTCCCCCCTGCAGAAGCAAGTTGGTGCTAGCTGGCTTGCAGCACTTGGAGAGAGACAGCCAAAGGCTTTTGAAGCTGCATTGCCTCAATTCAGGGGCTGATTCTTCGCTGCCTGGCTGTAAATCCCTGGAGTTACACCAGCACAGAGCAGCAGTAATGCAGTAGTGAACCAGTAGTATTAGGGGTGAATAGCACCTTGCTGCAGAGAACACGAAAGGCAGGTAATGAAAGAGAGAGAGGGGGAATGGATAGCTTTGACAAGAAAATCCGCTCCCTCTTCTCATCTAGTACACGTTGTGTAACTGATGGCTGTGTGGAAAATTCGCTGTAGGCCTGGTAGAAAAGCAGGCTGCTCCTGGCCGAGGACGGAGCATCATCGCTTCCCTCGCCGACGAGCGGTGTCTGCCAGCCCTCGGGCAGGGCAGGAGGTGCCAGTGCTTCAGCGCGGACCAGGAGAGCGCTTCTGGAGCACTCCTGACGATCCCTGCCCAGCAGAGTCGTCAAAATACCCTGGGCAGGTGGGGATGTCCGTGGTCTCGCAGCCCGGGGTGGCACTGGGGGGCTGCGGACACCCCCCGCGAGGGGTAGAGACAGCTCCATGTGCTGCCTGTGCACGCACACACCTGGCACGTGCCCTGCGTTGTCCGAGCAGGTGACTTCCCAGTGAGGATGAGCTGAGTGTTTCTCGCGCTTTAGATGTACTTTAAAAATTCTGTGGAATTTTACCTAGCATTTTGATCAGAGAAGTCTAATTGCAGCTTTCCGTTGTGAGAGGGAATGACATTATCATTCTATTTGCTGATTTTCTTTTCCCCGTGCTCCCTGCCCTTCCCCCATTCCTCAGGAGAGGAGGAGGGCACCATTATCTTCATAATTGCTGAGGCTCCCGGGTTGCTGCACAGTGGTTTGATTGTTAATGGGCACTTGGGTCATCCTTGAATACGAATTGCAGGGGAGGAAACTCTGAAACTGCAAATCCCAATCTTAAAAAAAAAAAATAATAATTGTTTTTTAAACAAACGTGTACGGTCTGTCACTGTCTTTTTGCGGTGCTGCAGAGCGAAAACAGGTCTTTCCTCGCCCGGGGAGCTCTGCCGAGCGTGCTCCCTCGGTGCTCGGGCGCGGGAGGGTTGCTGCTCCTCGGCAGGCCTGGGAGCGCTCTGAGGAGGTTTTCAGGCTGGGAGACGCTGCAGGTCTGCCCGCCCGGGCTGCTCACCCGCTCGCTGGGCACCCGGCTCAAAAAGACGAGCAGGCAGTTTCAACCTCTTAAAACCTTCTAATGCAAAGGTGCGGCGGAAATAATCCAGTTCTGCTAGAGGCCTCCCTTTAATACTGTATCCTAATATAATTTTCCAAGGTTTTTCATTTTCCCAACTCCCGAAAGATGTTTACAAAAGAATATCTGACAGACAGAGGCAGTGAAATCGCCAAAATTATGGCAGGTGTGCAAAATGAGCAAACAAATCAGAAATGAAGAGACAATATTGTTTCCACAGAAATTGGTTCTTTCGTGACGGGAGACACAGGAAAAGTAAAATCAAACCCAAACTGTCCTTACCTATTGTTAAAACCCCTTTTCAGTCTGAGCTATCAGCCGGGCACGCAGGCATCGTGTTTTGCCACATGCAGGACCAGCTATGTTTCAGCGCTTGGGAGTGTTTAAACTGAGCATTTTAAAATGGGGTTTGCTTTTCAGTATTTATTCTATTAGTTTAGTTTTTGCATCGCAGTTTTAACAGAAAAAATACACTCGTTTCGTTCGTGTTTACTTTTGCTTCCTGCTAGGATCCCCTCTGCTCCCTACGGCATTCGCTTGTTTGTGTTGCTAGCGCTGCATAGGCAATATTTATTTGTATAAAAAGTATTCTCTGAGGGTTTAGAAATAAAAAAAGTAAAAAAGAAAGAATACCAGCCATGGGAACATTTGTATTAGTTGATCTCTTGGCCGAATTTGACCTGACCTTGTGTCTTTTATGGTATTGCCTCATTTTTAGATTCATCTTTTTTGGACCCATTGTGTTACACTGGATATTGTTTGTAAATCAGTAATATTTTTACACATGCTTTACTGAAAGCCAGATGACTCATTTGAAAGTTTAATGACTCATGGTGAGCTGCTTTTTTTCCTCCTTTGCCCTTTAAGAAATATGCAAAGATACCTACTGTGGGGAGAAAGGACTCGAAAAATTTCATTTGAAAAAAGCCAAGGCTGTTTCTGAGCGGCGTCGCTTCAGCTCGCTCATCGGTGGAAATCTCGTGCGCGCTTTTTGTTGAGCAATAGATGTTGCACCCTATGTTTATCTGCAATTAGGCGTGCAGAGTATCTAGTTAAGCCTACTTTCCTTTGACTGATCCCTCTCGCTCACAGGAAATTCCTAGCGCTTGAGATAGAAAAATTACTCTTACCCGCATAAACGCCGTGCGCCGGGGACGAGACGCGTCCTGCGCCGGGGACGAGACGCGTCCTGCGCCGTGCTCGCTGTGGGTCTGCTCCCGCCGTGTGCCGCTGGAGGAGCGTCCGAGGGTCGCAGCGCTGGAACCGCTGCGTGCTGGGGAAGCAGAGAGATGGCTGTGGGTCGCCTCCCGCCGTGTGCCTCTGGAGGAGCGTCCGAGGGTCGCAGCGCTGGAACCGCTGCGTGCTGGGGAAGCAGAGAGAGAGGAGACGGTACCTGTGGGGCGGCGGGCGTTGCTGAACGCCCTGCTCTGTCCTGAGCCTGGCAGGGCCTGGGCAGGTGGGGATGTCCGTGGTCTCGCAGCCCGGGGTGGCACTGGGGGGCTGCGGACACCCCCCGCGAGGGGTAGAGACAGCTCCATGTGCTGCCTGTGCACGCACACACCTGGCACGTGCCCTGCGTTGTCCGAGCAGGTGACTTCCCAGTGAGGATGAGCTGAGTGTTTCTCGCGCTTTAGATGTACTTTAAAAATTCTGTGGAATTTTACCTAGCATTTTGATCAGAGAAGTCTAATTGCAGCTTTCCGTTGTGAGAGGGAATGACATTATCATTCTATTTGCTGATTTTCTTTTCCCCGTGCTCCCTGCCCTTCCCCCATTCCTCAGGAGAGGAGGAGGGCACCATTATCTTCATAATTGCTGAGGCTCCCGGGTTGCTGCACAGTGGTTTGATTGTTAATGGGCACTTGGGTCATCCTTGAATACGAATTGCAGGGGAGGAAACTCTGAAACTGCAAATCCCAATCTTAAAAAAAAAAAATAATAATTGTTTTTTAAACAAACGTGTACGGTCTGTCACTGTCTTTTTGCGGTGCTGCAGAGCGAAAACAGGTCTTCCCTCGCCCGGGGAGCTCTGCTGAGCGTGCTCCCTCGGTGCTCGGGCGCGGGAGGGTTGCTGCTCCTCGGCAGCCCTGGGAGCCCCGCGCTGAAGAGGTTTTCAGGCTGGGAGACGCTGCAGGTCTGCCCGCCCGGGCTGCTCACCCGCTCGCTGGGCACCCGGCTCAAAAAGACGAGCAGGCAGTTTCAACCTCTTAAAACCTTCTAATGCAAAGGTGCGGCGGAAATAATCCAGTTCTGCTAGAGGCCTCCCTTTAATACTGTATCCTAATATAATTTTCCAAGGTTTTTCATTTTCCCAACTCCCGAAAGATGTTTACAAAAGAATATCTGACAGACAGAGGCAGTGAAATCGCCAAAATTATGGCAGGTGTGCAAAATGAGCAAACAAATCAGAAATGAAGAGACAATATTGTTTCCACAGAAATTGGTTCTTTCGTGACGGGAGACACAGGAAAAGTAAAATCAAACCCAAACTGTCCTTACCTATTGTTAAAACCCCTTTTCAGTCTGAGCTATCAGCCGGGCACGCAGGCATCGTGTTTTGCCACATGCAGGACCAGCTATGTTTCAGCGCTTGGGAGTGTTTAAACTGAGCATTTTAAAATGGGGTTTGCTTTTCAGTATTTATTCTATTAGTTTAGTTTTTGCATCGCAGTTTTAACAGAAAAAATACACTCGTTTCGTTCGTGTTTACTTTTGCTTCCTGCTAGGATCCCCTCTGCTCCCTACGGCATTCGCTTGTTTGTGTTGCTAGCGCTGCATAGGCAATATTTATTTGTATAAAAAGTATTCTCTGAGGGTTTAGAAATAAAAAAAGTAAAAAAGAAAGAATACCAGCCATGGGAACATTTGTATTAGTTGATCTCTTGGCCGAATTTGACCTGACCTTGTGTCTTTTATGGTATTGCCTCATTTTTAGATTCATCTTTTTTGGACCCATTGTGTTACACTGGATATTGTTTGTAAATCAGTAATATTTTTACACATGCTTTACTGAAAGCCAGATGACTCATTTGAAAGTTTAATGACTCATGGTGAGCTGCTTTTTTTCCTCCTTTGCCCTTTAAGAAATATGCAAAGATACCTACTGTGGGGAGAAAGGACTCGAAAAATTTCATTTGAAAAAAGCCAAGGCTGTTTCTGAGCGGCGTCGCTTCAGCTCGCTCATCGGTGGAAATCTCGTGCGCGCTTTTTGTTGAGCAATAGATGTTGCACCCTATGTTTATCTGCAATTAGGCGTGCAGAGTATCTAGTTAAGCCTACTTTCCTTTGACTGATCCCTCTCGCTCACAGGAAATTCCTAGCGCTTGAGATAGAAAAATTACTCTTACCCGCATAAACGCCGTGCGCCGGGGACGAGACGCGTCCTGCGCCGGGGACGAGACGCGTCCTGCGCCGCGCTCGCTGTGGGTCTGCTCCCGCCGTGTGCCGCTGGAGGAGCGTCCGAGGGTCGCAGCGCTGGAACCGCTGCGTGCTGGGGAAGCAGAGAGAGAGGAGACGGTACCTGTGGGGCGGCGGGCGTTGCTGAACGCCCTGCTCTGTCCTGAGCCTGGCAGGGCAGGACCGTCCCCGGGGGAGCAGCAGGATTGGAGCTGCCGGGGGACGGGGCTGAGACGGGGGGACTTTGTCCCTGTTCCCCGCTGCTGGCACCCCTTCCCCAGTCCACTTGACGCTTGTTTTTTTGGCTTTAAATAGAGGGCAGGGGCAATGGTTACCAGACAGAAAAGAAGGGCTGAGACGGGGGGACTTTGTCCCTGTTCCCCGCTGCTGGCACCCCTTCCCCAGTCCACTTGACGCTTGTTTTTTTGGCTTTAAATAGAGGGCAGGGGCAATGGTTACCAGACAGAAAAGAAAACATATCTAAGAACAGCTTAAAAGTCCCAGATCTGGGGTCAGGATTAAACAACTGTCCTTAGAAACCGCGGGCCTGGTCTGTGTTGATGGATTCCTTAACCAGAAACAGCATCTGCTTGAAAAAGCGACCGTTTCTGGCGTTGTTGGTAGCATTGCTGAGAATTTACACACAGTCTGGCTGGAACATAAAACCCGCTGAGAAACTCCACGGCGCTGCGCAGTGATAAAAAGAAATTGGTGTTAATAAAGACAGACAAGGAGTCATGAAAGCTGTGACCCCGTGCCAAGAAGCATAGGAAATCTGGCAGCGCTGCATAAACAAAAACATTTCCTTAAGGGCTCGGCAGCCCCAAGCAGGCGAGCGATACCCTCGGCACCGTTCGCAGAAGCCGAGCGGGGAGGCGAGGAGCCGACGGCAGGCTGGGGCCGGGCCCCGCTGCGGACCGGCTTGCCTCGCCACCCAGCAGGAGATGGGAGAGATTTCCAGCTCCCTCCTCCCGAGTTTAGCAGCTGGGATTGACTCCACACCCCCCCCAAAAAGCTGCCTGGGAATCCGAGCTCAAGCGGAGCTCCGTCGGTGAGCCGGCTGTGCTGGTTTCGCGTGTGCCGTGGGGAGACCGAACATGAGAGGCCCTGAGGGCATCGATGTTGGGATGCGGAGGAAACCACGAGTAACCCCGCTCACTTTTAATTAGGCATTGGGTCCAGGCTGGAGCCCGAGGTGGAAGCCGCTGGCCACGTCCCCCCGGCTGCCCCTCCCCCGGGAGCACG